AAAGCACAGCAAAGAGGTCTGAGAGGCTCATAAAACTTGCCATGGAAAAAATGAGATGAAAGGGGAGAAGAAAGAATTGAGCACTCACTATGCACTTTTCTTCTATACTGAGCATACCCCATGTGTTATCTTAGTTATTGTCACAAGCCCCTGTGAGGCATGAACTTCTTGGTGCTGGGCTGGTAAATGTTTAACAACTGGCTCCTTTCTCTTGCCACTCCCCTGACCCTTCCAAGCACCTGCTTTGCAGTATTTGCTGCTGGGATAAATACTCCTATCTGGCAAAATTTCAAGCTACCCAAGGACGTTGAACTTAAAGTTGGAAGAGGCACACTCTCTCTCTCATGGGGCGTGGCAAGCCGGCTCCGGCACACCACTGAAGCTATGATCGTCCTCAGTTTGCAGATTAGGAAACTGTTAACTGGTTTGCCGAAGGACATATATTTGCAAGAAGAGTACACACGTCAGTGAGAATGTTTGATGTCTCGATCTGGGAGACGGCTACATGGGTATATACACATGTCAAAAGACATCGAGCTGTACACTAAGATTTGTGCATTTTATAGTATGTACCTCAACAAAAAGAAAAAGAACATGAGATATAGACCTCTCTCCTACTCTAATACTACCTGCAGCTGCCCCAAGACTGCATGACTCTGTGGTTGTCCATGGAAATGTGCTTGGAATTGGACAAGACAGAGAAGCTACCTCGCAGGAGGAAAATGAACCTAGGAAGACAGGAAACTAGCATTCCCCAATGATAGGATCCCCTCTAGAGAGGTGAACAATACTCCTGAAAACATATTAGGTGCAAAGCTGACCTTTCCCAGGTACTGGTCCCTGTCTCTGTGTCCTCTCTGATGGGTCCATTTCCCTCAAGAAGAGACTGAGGAAGGTGCTGTGCAGGCTATGTAGGTAGGACACACAGACAATCTACACCCCAGATATAAATGAAATTTCAAGGAACTTCTACACATTCCAAAATATGGTACAACATCCTATCTTCCTAGAACCAAGCTCATCTGTAATCTTAGTTATTCCTTATAAATGTGGCATGGCTTATATTCATAAATATGTGTGCCATGTATTCACATTATTTAATAAAAAGTCTTGAAAATAAGTAGTCTTTATAAACCATTTTCCAGATGGCTTGAAGATCTTAGGACACCTGCTTAGATCAGAAACTTAGAATTAGCTCTGACTGCTAAAAAGTGAATTGTAACACAGTGACAGTTTTTTCAGCGTTTTAGTCAATGTATAATTTAGCATAAACCTAAAAAGCCACATAAAAGTTTTGTATTTTCTTTGGAACACTAAAATCTCAAGGAAAAAATTCTATACTAAAATGAAATTATGCAATCCCTGAAATATTCAGTTTCTTAGGCTATTGACACTAGGTACAAAGATAACCTCATATTTCCAAAAAGAAACACCTGTGTTTCTATTGTCCCTTTTTGCTTACCAAAAAGCTCATGGAAGCCACGCATGGAAATTTAGCAACTACTCCTGTTAAACATTTTGCTGAACTTTCACTGAGTGGGGTTCACAAGCCACCCCCAACACCCCCCAGCTCCATGTGCATCGACTTCCTGGAAGAAGCTACAAACAGCGTCAGTGCCAACAGGAAGTACAGCCTTTCCACAGATGATCAGAGAGCAATGGAAAACCAAAGCGGTGTTAGGAAAATCCCTCTCACCTCTTAACACTGCTCCCTGTAAACTGTTCCTCCTCCTGATTTCTCTCCTCCTCTCATCCTGGTTGAGTCCTGTGCTTGGTCTGGGCCTCAGTTTATGGTCATTTCCTTAAGAATGAACCACCCACGCAGCACCAGATCCCCCAGGCCCTGAATCTGTATTAGGCACCTCTGTTATTTTCTCTCATGGTATCTATCCTGTTTTGCTATTCGTAGAACATACTACAAATGTCTTATTTTACTTAGAATTATTAAAAAAAATTTTTTTTAAATCAATAAATACATGTTGAATAAATGAATGGCTACAGTAAAATACTTCAAATGTATACTACAACTCACTGTGAAGAATACTGTGTATATCCTTTATACCATTATGGGATGGGGCAAAAGGCATTACAAATATTAAGAGTAATTAGAAGGGCAAATATGTAATAGCATCACCTATTAGCTTCCTTCTTCCCTCCCTTTCTATCCTTTCATCTTTAGAAAAAAAGGTAATTGGGAAAACACCTCTATTACCTTTGCTCACTTTGCATACACGTAGGGAAGTATTAGAATATTTGCATATGTTTATAAAGCATGCTATTTTTAAAGTCTCTAACATCAAGGTAAGCTTTTATTATCGGACTCCACTTTACATTTCATTCTTGCTTTTTTAACTTCTGTCTCCTATTCTGCAAACTTTTGCAGAAGCAGATGAGCAGATGGGAAAACTAGGCGAATGGGTTGGAAAGGGAAGCTGTGACTCACGAGTGTCACAAAAGCTGTGATGGATGCAAGACCCCTTGAATCAATGTTTTGAAAACAGGTTTTGAAAACATATCCTCTCTTCCCTGGCCTCTCTCCAACCAAGGGCATTAGCCAGCAGTGGAAACCAGTATAGGATTCTGGACAATTTGTGAACTGTAACTCCCAATCATCTCATACTGATGAGACACAGATACCCAGAAGAGCCCTATTTTACTCTCCTTTCACTTTTTTGAGTCAGAGGCACCAGGGCAGCATGACTGACAGGGCCCATTCCCAAGGGGCGGTATTAATAACTCCGCGGCGCTGAGCTCCTCAGGCTGCACGGAGCTGTCCCTCGTTGGCCCTCCCTGCCAGGACAGGGGCACTCGGCCCGCCCGCCAACCCCTGCAGGGCCCTAGTGGGTTGCCACAGCTCAACCACAAGGTAGGAGCCTATATTTCAAGATGAAACTGTATCTCCATATATAACTCAAGTGAATGCTATAGTCTTAATGGTTTTTAATTACGATTTTTGAAGTTTCGACTTTAAGAAGCACCTTTTGTATTTTTCATCTCCTCTGAAATGGCGTTTACTTGCTAGGACTAATTTTTTCATACTTCTCTCTCCTTCCCTGAGCTTCAATAATTTAAGAAGAGAATTCTTTTTAATATGTCCCATTAACCTACTTAAGAGGCCCAAAAGTAGGAACAAGGGGAAATTTTATTAAAGTGAGAGCAGAACATTCTGCTTGATACCTTCCATCTTTTACAAATGTGGGCTTTACTATTACAGTGGCGATTCAGGACCCACACTATGAAAGACTCCCCTACAGTCTGCTCGCTCTCCTATGGACACTGAAATGACAAGACATGGAAATCCACTGCCTCATATTTTCACCTCAGGTATCCAGTTGTCTAGATCTCTTAGAAGGAGGTGAGGTTCCTATATCTGCAGCCTATTTCACACTTGGTACCATGGCAGAGCAGCCATCATTTTAACAGGTACACATGAAGTAACACTCACCACGACAGGACAGCTGTGTCTCTCTGAACCTCCCTCCCCTGACGTGGCTGCCCTTCATAGACCATACATTCTCTATCCTTGAAATAAGCCCTGTCTTCCTGTCTCCCTTTCGTTTTCTTCCTTTTCCTCAGGTACTTATTAGCTCTATTACAGCTCAGTCAACCTGCTAGGACATACTGGGAACTAAGCTGGTATGGTCTGAATGATTGTGTTCCCCCAAATTCATGTGTTGACATCCTAATCCCCAAAGGTAATGATATTGTATGTGTGTGGGAGGGGGAGGGCCCTCTGGACAGTGATTAGAACCTTCATGAATGAAATTAGCATTCTTAGAAAGAGACCCAGAGAGCCCCCTAGTGTAATTCTACCAAGCAAGGGTGCAAGAGATTGGCAGCTGCACCCCAGAAGAGGGCCCTGATGGGTTACCTATTTAAGACTCGCAGACTCCAGAACTATAAGCAATAAATTTCTGTTCTTTATAAGCCACCCAGTCTGTGGTATTTTGTTGTAGCAGCCCAAACAGACTAAGACATTAGCCTTACATTCTATTAAAATCTGGCAAAGGTGAGAAATATGGGAGACTGTGTCAAACACTAGAAAAGTAAGATTTCATGAATCAAGTAAGACAATGCACTGATGGCCCTGGTTCATTACTGTTCTAGATTACCTGACACTAAGATGTAAGTGAAATCCACCATGATGTTATCTCATGCAGTATATTCGCAAGACCAATTCTGCCATTGTCAATGCAGAGCCAGGCTTAGTTGGTGAGGATAGCAGTTAGACAATTCTTTATTCCAATGCTATTGGAATGCAAAGATTTTCCAGTAAAGAAACAACGTCATGCATAACACATCAGGAACAAGACCATCTGAGTGGGAGGAGGGGTAGAGCAGGGTTGTGTCCTTCTAGCCTAATGAAGTGTAGGTTGAGCTCTGTGCTTGTACGTGTTAGGGATAACAATTTTGTGCTTCTACTTGGAAATCTCAGAATCTATTAGGGACAGTGATGTACTTACTAAGAAGCACCTGAGATATAGGTATCTTTTTTGGCATAAACTCTAACTTTATATGAGCTTATATCAGTGATGATGTATCATGGAATTTTAGCACATTAGGTAAATCAAATTAGTACCTGTAATACCCTACAGCCAAGGGAGCTGAAGTACGGAAAGGTGAAGAGACCAGGCATCAAGAACTCTCACATGGACAGATGGGTGGGAGGGGGAAGGAAAAGAGAACTGGAGGAGGAACGAGGCTAAAAAAATCAAAACCTCCCATACTTGATAGACATTGCAAAAGGACATTCCATGCTTGGAGGCAAGTGTGTGGAAAAGATAACAGCCCTTTACAAGTTTGCAATTATGTCCCATTCTGCAAATAGTTCCCATAAACAGCATTAAATACAAAAAAAAATATCTATGATAGCTGCATGTACTGTTCAGTTACCTTGCTTCACGTATTTTAACAAATCAAACTCTGGGAAGAAAATATATTGCCGAACATTTCAACTCATACATTAAGACTTTTGAAGAAGAATTTTAAGACCGCTTTACCTTGGAACTTCTCTTTGAGGTGGGACTCCAATGAGGCTTAAGTTTTTCTGGTTGAAATCTAAGGGTAAGGAAATAATGTAACATTGAAATAGATACATAATAAGTTAAAAAAAACTCCAAGGCAGAGGGATAGGGGGGAAATCTTCAAACTCTTGGAATACATAATTTAAGAAAAAGGAAACCATTAACCAGACAAGAAATATAAATTCAAAAATGATACCTTCTACAAATAAAATTTCACAACATACATTTCACATAGGCAAGTTATTTTTTCTCTTGTGAAAAGCAATCAACATACTCCATGGGTAAAAAAACCAAATTCTGACATAGTTCAATGCTATCATTTAAATTCATATGTCTTACAGGAATAACTCAAAGCAATTAAATGCTGAATACCATAGTTACATATTCATGAAAAAAAGGGGAAAGAAATTAAATAGCCTTGGCTAAAGTACCCAGAAATGTTCAGTCATCCTATCTGATATACTTGAGGTGACTTTACAGAATGTGGGGTTGGGGGCGAGGCACTGAGGAAGAGCAGGGGAAGAGCTAAAGGTAGCTGAGTTTTTATTGCCTTCCTGAAAATCCAAACAGTAATAACACATCAAATTAACTCCTTATTTATTTATTTTTGAAGACAAGATACATATTATGTAAAGACAGCTGGTATCAATCCCATACAGCAGAAACACACATCCGAGTGAACCAGTTAATCAAAACCAGGCACAGACAAATATATAACCAGTGGAATGGCAAGTAATGTGTTTTACAGCTTTTGGCACAGTGATAATTTGTCCACCAAGAAAACCACAAGTAAACCACTTATAGCAACTTCTAAGGAAGTGCCTTTTATTGTTTAATATTTGGGGGCAGAAGCCTGAGGAAAAGGTACAAAATACACCAGATGCTGACATGCCATCATCCATCAAAATACTGTTGGAATACTGGGATTTGGAAATTTTGGTCAACTGGAGAATTTAAAATTAAATGAAAGCATCATGCCAACTAAACATCTAGCCTTTTCTCTTAATTATACAAATATCTTGTTATGTATTTTAAAACAGAGAAAAACTCAGTTCAAAAAGCCATCAAGTATTATAGAAGAAAATTCTTGAACCTGAGGTCTGACTTGTTCAAATCACTTCCTAAAAGGACATTTGTGCTAGAAAAGACTTCTATACAGAATGGCTGAATTTCAAATATGACTTTCAAAATAACTTTGGCATTTCACTTTTGTCCAATGAAGTGAATATGTGATGCCACTTCAGTAGTTAATTTGAAAGCATGTATTTTCCTCTGCCATCGAAAGAAAGCTGCTGCAAAAACAACATTTTGTTCTAAACAGTCTCAAGTGAAGATTTACTAGAAAAACAAACACCCCATCTACTGGAAATAGTTTAGTACATAGAACATTTCGTTTAGAAAGTATTTTAGCTAAAGTGTAGCACATTCAAGATTTCCTCTGAAGTTTGGGCATTCCAATTTAATCTGCAATTTTTTCTACATAAAGGCTGTTATGGTTCAGCAATATCTTTAACATACAGCAGGAAAAATAAATTCACATTTTTCAGCAATCACAAGATGAGCTCATGCATAAATTTAACTAGATATTTGAGGTATTCTTTGAGAAAACTGGGTAACTAACTGGACACAGGAGAATACAGGTAAAATCGAGGCCTCAGGCATTCATTATGGTATAAAATAAATATAAGTGCATTTGCTCTTCCTCTTGCCTTACCTTGCTTCTCAGAGAACCTGAAAGCTCCCACATGGCTGGGAATCCCTGGGCTTCTGAACATGGTTGCACCCAGAAACTTCAGTAAAAGAGTCTGCTCTAGAGCTAAATTCTCCACCAGCCACGGCCTTCGGCCTGTCTGAGTAAAACTGGGTTGAGACTTTTCGCTGTGCAGTGCTAGAGCAATCAGGCACTTGCGTCCTTGAAAGCCTAGTAAACGCCAAGCAAGAGGCTGCAGGCTGGAACAGCTCAAACCCTGTAATCAGATTACAAGGAGAAACTGGGCCTGAGGATGCTGAGACAGACTAGATTCCTGGGATGGGATGCTTATGATGTTATTACTTCAAAGCAGAGGTGGGATCACAGCTTATGCTTCAGCTAAAAAGAAAGCACTACAACAGAGACATCACTGGGGGAGTTCACAAGCAACTCCGCTGTTCCCTAAAAATAAACAAACAACAAGAGAAAGAACAGACACTCTCCTAGGGGTAGAAGGGAAGCCACCTAACTATTCCCAGGGTGCTCAGAGTCTGGCGTTGGTGAAGTTACATGAAGTATTCTACCTAACAGGGAGCCAAACCCCCATAGTTAGGAGTTAAGATTTATGAACAACATTTGAGTGAAATTGTGGGAAAGGAAAAGGCAGATATTACTAGAGGTTCAGAAATTTTAATTTGAGACAGGAGCTCTTAAGTATAACCTATATGACTGCCTTCTGTTTATTTCATTACTATTTTTTTAGACACCTAATTTTTTTAGAGCAGGTTTAGTTTTACAGTGAAATTGAGGGGAATATAGAGAGATTTCCCATATTCCCCCTGTTCCTCATGATCAACATCCCCCACCAGAGTGGGACTTGGTTTATTTTTTTTAACCAAAGGTGAACCTACAATGACATATCAAAACCACTCACAGTCCATAGTTTACATTAGGGTCACTCTTGGGTGCACATTCTATGGGTTTGGCCAAATGTATAATGACATATATCCATATCCAGCATTATATATAGTATCAAACAGAATATTTTCATTTCCCTAAAAATCCACTCTGCTCTCCCTATTTATCTCCCTTCTCCTCCCCGGCAACCACTGATCTTTTAACATCTCCACAGTTTTGCCTTGTCCAGAAAGTCATCTAGTTGGAATGATACAGGATGTGGCTTTTTCAGACTGACTTCTTTCACTTAGTGTTAAGCATTTAAGATTCCTCCATGTCTTTTCATGGCTTGTCCGCTCATTTGATTTTAGTCTCTTTGTCTCAGTGGACCACAGTTATTTATCCATTCACTTACTGAAGGACATCTCAGTTGCTCTCAAGTTTTGGCAGTTATGAATAAAGATGCTATGAAGATCCATGTGCAGGTTTTTGTGTGGATCTAAGTTTTCAACTCCTTTGGGTAAATACCAAGGGTACAAGTGCTGGATCATATGGTAAGAACATATTTAATTTTGTAAGAAACTGCCTGTTTTCCAAGTGGCTGTAACGTTTGCATTCCTATCAGCAATCAATGAGAGTTCCTGTTGCTCCACATCCTCACCAGCATATGGCATTGTCAGTGTTCTGGAAGTTTGCCATTCTAATAGGTATGTAATGGCATCTCATTGCTGTTTTAATTTGCATTTTCCAGGTGACATGATGGACAGCATCCTTTAATATGCTATTTGCTATTATCTTTGGTGAGGTGTCCATTCAGATCTTTGGCCCATTTTTGTTCAGTTGGTTGTTTTCTTATGTTGAGTTTTAAGAGTTCTTTGCATATTCTGGATAATAGTCCTTTATCAGAAATGTTTTTTGCAAATATTTTTCTCAGTCTGTGGATTTTCTAATACACTTGATATTATCTTTCATAGAAAAGAAGTTTTTAATTTTAATGAAGTCCAGCTTATCAATTATTTCTTTCAAGTCTTTGGTGTTGTATTGAAAAAGGCATCAACCATAACCAAGGTCATCTAGGTTTACTCCTATGTTATCTTCTAGGAGTTTCAAAGTTTTGTATTTTACATTTAGGTTTATGATCCATTATAAGTTAATTTTTGTGAAGGGTATAAGGTCTGCATTTAGATGAATTTTTTTGTGTGCGGATGTCCAGTCGTTCCAGCTCCACTTGTTGAAGGACTATCTTTGCTCTGTTGTATTGCTTGTGAATCTGTTTCCATGTCTGTGTCTTCCTGTCTTAGGCTGTCTCTCCAATCTCAGGGATGGTGGCTTGTTTTGTGTGTGCTCTGCCTCCTCTTACAGACCCAAGAAAGGTTCAGTCTGTTCAGCTTTTTACTTGTTATTGAGATGGAGCTGTGATATCCCAGCACCTTATATGCAGGACCACAAACCCTGGAGCTCCCCTCTTTATTTTTTATTGCAACAGGTAGGTGGTGGGCCCAAGCAGTAACAATGCAATTCCAAGAAAAATATGCAGTAATTAGAGACTTACAGTTTCATAGCTGAGAGGAACATTAAAGAGAACCTAGGAAAATCATCCCATTTACAAGATGAGGAGACAGAGGGCTGGAGAAGGAACTTGCTCATAGGTAAATACTTGGTTAGTGATGAGGCCATAAGATTTGGGGGAGGAGGATGGAGATTATTGATGCCCCCCCCCGCCCCCCGCACCAGGAGGCAGTGCTTGAGTCTGTCCATCTCTGTGTTTGGTACTTACACTGCACCTGGTGTATAGCAGTCCTGCAGTGAATGTTTGCTGAATGACCACATGAAAAATTGGAATAATCTTTTCTCAGGGCTGGAGATCACATCCTAAAATGATTTGTATTGCCTTTATATCCTTTCAAACTAGACCAACTTACGCTGCTCTCTGAACCACAAACTTGACTTGAAACAGAAGAACTCTGCCCAAATGATAAGGGTGCATGGACAGAGGGTACAGCAGCACTGAGCACCACATGGGTCGTCTCTCTCCACTGCTGATCACTCCAGCTCTCGTATAGTTGGAAGAAATACAGCAAATTGGGCAAGTTTTTGAAACTCAGTAAGAAACAACACATATGCTGCAGATAACTTGTAGTGGAAACTTTATTATAATCAGGTCATGGCCAAGTAGGCACAAAAAGGCAAAAGGAAGTGTTGGAAGGAGGAGAAATTGTGGTCACCACTGACTTTGGAAATGAATAATTAGATGGAAAGAAGTCATATTTATGTTTATAAACAATCCTCTGTAAGGAATTCAGTTTATGGAACACATCATGCCCACTGACACTCCTGAAAACTACTCTTCTTATAGAACACTCAATTGGCATGAACCTGAATGAGCCCAAATGTTTCTTTTGAATGATGATTAAGGAATAACTCTAGTGTACATTTTTAAAATGAAA